AAGCTTGTACTTGCCATGTTACGAACTGTAGAAGGAATTAGCAGTTATGTTTGATTTGGCTGGAAGACCTTCCTGTAGTTTAAAATAAACTAGGATTAATCATTGATCCACAAGACTCCAAAGTATTAACCTGATAACTTTACACTATTACAAGAAAAGAAAGCAGTAGAAAGGAGCAATGGGCTGCCTTTGGTCCAAGTAGGCTGTCTATAGCCTACGTGAACTTACGCAATAACTAAACTCGACTATTTCAGATTTCAAAGCACTGACAAGCACTTGCACTAATGTTGATATTTTGCATTATCACAATGACTCTGCATTAAATAGAGGGCTGCTATCTACTTGAGGGTGCAAAGACCAGTTTGGGAGACATTACAAAATAAGGTCAAAGTTAATTTATGAAATGCAAAACAGTGCAGAATGCAACATTTCTGATGTTTCATGTGTGTGTGTGTGTGTGTGTGTGTGTGTGTGTGTGTTTTATATTGGTTTTAGTGTTTATTAAATAGACTAACATAATGCACAACTTACACATGCAGTGTGACAATACTGGTGCATGTTGTCACAAAAGAGCAATGTGTGTTCAATCAACTGTATTTTTTTTTCCTGTGCCATATTTTTAGAAATAGCTTTAAGATTTGTGCTTAAGGAGTTAACAAACTCAACCCGAGAGAGATTGGCGATTGCATTAACTTTTGATAGGCTATAGGCCTATTTAATAATTAATTTCCTGAACCTTGCTATATGCGCTACTGTTTAAACTACAGCGACGTCCCCGAGGAACTCTAGACCTCCGTGTGAATATTGCGCAAAAATCCCGTTGCATTAGAATAGCAGTTCGCTCAACTGGTGTTATTCTGACACGACCACCACCTCACGTTAGTACAGGAGTGAAACGCTGTGAAACCGAGTGGCGTCAAAAAGGTGAGAAACGCATCAAAACGCTAATATTGCAGCTTAGACGTCTCTTTAACTTCCTGCTCTTGTACTTTTGTTTGTTTCTTGTTAATATTAAGGCTATATGAAGCGCCTTGTCGTACATTTTTGACATTCCAAAGAGACCGCCTTGGGCGTCTTAGTTCGCTCTATTGTTTCCTTTATAGCTACTCTTAAACAAACAAACCGACAAACGTATTCACAAACTATATATGATGTAACAATATTAAACATCCGTAATTTAAAATCCTTTAAATTGTGCGACATAATCAGTATTAAATGAGATATTTTGCTCTGTTCATGTAGGCTACCTCAGCTATACTAAATCCAGTTTTAAAAGGACAAACTGCCATACGCCTGTTTTAAAGAAATATTTGCCTATAACTGTCTTTGTGGATTTTTTGTCCATTTTCGGTAAAGAAAGTTCTATAAATACCACATCGTTTTTAATTTGGAGCTAGGCTGTGATACTGACAAGGTGCTGGAAAATCCAGTTTAAACTGGTAGCTGTTTTGGAACATGTTTTTTTTAACTAGTTCAAGCTGGGATACATTGGCCAAATTGGTTTGGTTGGGCAATAGGAGTGGTGATAGGAGATATTTCGTATCACATTAACCAGTATGTGATATTGCTTTTGTAAGATTTTGTGTATTATTCTTTATATCAAACTAAAGAAAGAAATCGTCTTTATATTTTTGATGTAATTATTTATGTTTGCTATTTGTTGTTTCCCATTTGTATTCACTGCTGTTTGAATAAAGATGGCAGAAGTTGTACACATGATTGACAGCGAGGTTTTCCTGGCCTTCTCCACATATGCAACCATAGTCGTCCTCAAAATGATGCTCATGAGCTTCATGACCTCATATTTTCGCTTGACAAAACAGGTACGCTATTTATTGTGCTCAATTTACTGCTTGTGCAACATGCATTCTATATTTTTCAGTATTTTTCAATGGGCTGTCAAGCACTTATTTTCTCAAATTTAATGGCTCCTCTTTTAGGTTTTTTCAAACTTGGAGGACACCACCTTGGTGAAGACCACAGAAGACAGGAAGAGGCTGGTCAGGGTTGATCCGGATGTGGAAAGAGTGCGACGGTAAACATATTTGGTTTTATGTGAGCAATGAAGGTGATACTGATATTGTCTCTTTTTCTGATGCCTTTGCTCTTGAATCACAGGTGCCATCTAAATGACCTGGAAAACATTGTTCCCTTTGTGGTGATCGGTCTCCTGTATGCACTCACGGGGCCAGATCTCTCCACGGCTCTGTTGCACTTCCGGGTGTTTGTAGGGTCACGTTTCGTCCACACAGTGGCCTATGTGATGGCTCTGCCCCAGCCTACCAGAGGTCTGACCTTTGGTGTGGGGCTGTTCACAACTTTTTCTATGGCTTACCGGGTGCTCACCACAGCGCTTTTTCTCTAATGGATAGCATTCACTTCATTTAAAACCATTTAGTTTGAGTTTTCTACAATGTTGCGTGAAAGAAATGTGTTGAGGAACCAATTATAATGCTGTTTTTGTGTTTTCTAATGGCTTTCAGTACCACAGTCCCATGAATGCACTTTATAGTGTGAATGAAAACTAAACATATGGCCTAATACTGCTGATAATATTTAATTAATGTAATCTTAACTCCTGACACACATTTCAGGATGAGTCTAAAACTTTGACCCGTACTGTACACTGTGAACAGACATTTGATTTTTGTTACTTATTAATCACGATAAGACTTTGAGCAACAACTTTGGATTGTGTCAGTTATTAAGGCCTATTCAAGTTTGTGTGCATTTAACAGTGTTACAGTAGTTGTGAAGACAAGCAAAGGAAAATTTTTAATTTGCGAAGTACCAACTTGGAATTTTAATGTTCATTTTCAGCAGGTTTAAAGAAATTATGAACAATAGCAAAATGTTTATAAATGGATTAAATAAAGTTTGAAAATAAAAAATAAGAATGTTTCTGACAATGCTTTTACAGTTGCAAGTGTGCAAAAAAACAGTGCATGTTTTGTCCACTAGAGAGAGCTATTTGAAAGCCCAAGTGGTACCAATGTTAAGTCCAATGTTTGTCTAATGCTCATGAAGCACCTCTTTATTTGTTTCTAACGCACCCTTGGCATGCAGGCACAAAAAACTCATTCCTGTGCACTCTATCTGACCGTATTCTGCCTCAGTAGATAAATTGACCTGTTTTATATAGCCACACTGCTAACATTAGCAGATGTTTGGTAAAAAATAGCCTTAAATAAAATCGTATTATTCATGCTTCACTCATTATCTTGATATGTTATGAATAGCTTCATTACTAATTTCATGCAACTATGCACAATAATAATAATAATTAGCTTTAGATACAAATGAAATGTGTTTCTTTCAGTGTTTTTACTATCGAGTGTTTCAGTCATTATAAGATTTTTAAAAAGTTCTGTTTTTGAGGTCGTAATATCTAAGTTCCCTTTGTTTTGAAAAATACAGGACCTCCACACAGCTATGACCAATATAAATCTTCTGGAATCAACTCTTCAACTGTGAAGCAAAGCAAGAAATTCTGAACTACATGAAATAAAATGAAGGTAAGTGAAAATATGAATTAGTCTATTTCAGACTGAGAAGTGAAGTGACATGTGGCCAAGTATGGTTACCCATACTAGGAATTAGTGCTCTGCATTTAGTGCTCCCCCCACCTACAATCCCTGCCGGTACGAGACTCGAACTCGCAACCTTTGGGTTACAAGTCCGACTCGCTAACCATTAGGCCACATTATTTACCATTACAGGAATTCAGTTCTACACTGTCAGAAAACAGGGATCTTATGAAACGCAAGTTGTGGCTGACTTTCATTTTGTGACACGTTTCTAAGTGAAATGGCATATTGAACAAGAAAAAATGTAGGGTGGAATTTATCTGTTGGTTGTTGATTTGACTATTATGAAAAGTGAATGTTGTATGAGTCAGATCACAGGACTAGCAAGACAATTTGATTAAAATTTACCTTAAAACAATGCACGGATGTTTTGTTCACATTAAGACCAGCAATGTGCATTAAAAGACCGAATCAATTTTGATTGTCAGACTTTCAATTGGCCAAGCTGTCTGAAATGAGACCATTTTTATATAAAGGTCTCTTAAACTAGTTAAACCCCCCTGTGTCTTGAATGTATGAGCATCCTTCAGCTGCTTTGTCCTTCTCTTTAACCAGCCCTCTCTTGATGTCACAGTAAATACTACTACTTAGCCCCAAGGTCGCCACGGCTGGCCATGCATATACCCCGTAAAGGCTTTTTCTCATTTGTTTTGGGTCTGTGCCCAGCTCCAGGGTGTGCAATATTTCAGTCAAGCCAAGCATTTTACAGGCTGGCCAGATGAAGAACAGCTAAACCTTGCTCTGTGATCAATAATGACTGATCCGCCCACAAGGGGCTCTCCCTCCGCTGGGGAAAAGCAGGGGTCCGGCCTATCCGAGAAGTTTTTTTGGTGGAAACTCAAGGCTCTTGGAGTCAACCTTGAAGTTGTTCTTTAGATGGACGTTCAGTAAACAGAGTCAAGACTGACATGTGCTTGAAAAAAAGTGCTAGTGGTCTATACATTGATAGACAGATTCTGTATGGTGCATTCCTCCCACGCTGTTTCTATATTACAACAGACACCATATATTTCTCAGATCTTCCCACTGCCTTATTGTAAGGCTCGTTAACTGTATGGCCGCTTAATTAGGCAGCACTTCAAAGTCATGGCGTGGGCCAGTATCAAGGTTTAGAAGAGATTTATATCACACAATGGCTCCACGGGTCCTGAAAAATTAATGAACGCTTAGCCGGGATCCGACTTATAGGCGACACGGTGCAATATAAATCAATTTGAGTTTGAGCCTTGCAATCCGGAACCGACTGTATCTGCTGGACTAGACGTTTTTAGAGCATTTTTGGAGGTGCATCGGCGGTAATGCGGACGAAATAGGTCAGAGGCGAGATGTGAATGCATGTCTCCTGACATTTCTTCAATGACGGCATGCTTGCTTTCTTGCTTTCTCATATGAACTAACGACTTGTGAGTTTCTGTGAAGTAATTATGGGTGCAGAGATCAGCCATAATCACATTGAGACAGTAGCGAGCGCAGGTCAGGACCATATGTTTGACTCCTTTCTCAGCTCCAGAACAGACTTCAGTGGAATGCGAACATAATAAGGACTAACTAATGCCTTTCGCATTGCTGCTCTCTTCTCTGCCCTTCATCTCTACTGAAGCCCATTACTGAGCTCAGAGAATTGCGGTAAACTCGCCATTTTTTTGCACTTGTCAGTGCCATTTATACACAGGAAGTCATATTATCTCATGTGGGGTAAAACTCACATTGAAATGGCCACTTGAAGGCCAAATAAATCTACCTAAAATGCTCAGTGAAGCAAATGCCCTGTGTTGACTCAATGATTTCAACATATTTATCTCAGCGTTACACCTAATAGATGGCCTATAGGCCAAAAGGCATGAGGAAGTGGTGCTTCAGCTAACATTTAAGCATAATTTCGGTGCTTATGTTAACAATGCTGAGCCTATTTTTGTTGCATGTCGGACAAAGAATAACCTGAAATTGCACTTGAAACCTTTTTCCCGGTGTAATCTTGTGCAATTTAGACTTGTGAAGCAATATAAGAGCTCATTGCTCACCTATTGTTTGAAAAAAAGATGCATGCTCCCATGCACTTTCTATTCAGTAAATCTGCCGGAATCTGGATGATTTAAGCTATTTATAGCTACACTTTGGGAATTATTTACCAAATATGGCATCTTTGCTCATATAAATTACATTTCATGATGATCATGTTTGTAGATCTCAATAGCAGGGTTGTTTTCATAACTGAATTGAGAATGCATTTTAAATTCCAACACAATTCCTGAATTTGAATTGAGGTAGCAAACAGGATGCAGAACTGGAATAAAAAAAAAAAAAGAAGTTTGTTTTTAAAAACTTTTTGGCTAAAGAAAGCATTATTTGAAAGTTTTGGGGGGAAGATATTTAAAAAGTTTTGTGTGCCATAGAGGAGTGTATTTAATATAATTTGTTTTATCATATTTAATAAATTAACTTGTCAGACTGAAAGACTTCATTTTCCAGAATTTTTGTAAGAATTGTAATTAACCCTTTGCAAAGACCCACCCCCCTTTATTACTGTTGCTGTGTCAGACAAGCCATGGCACTCTTCCGCCACACATCATGTTCACACACAGTGAAAAATACATAGAGAGATATGTATTTTGTATAAAATAAAAAGAGAAAACTGACAATGCACCGACAGACAAGACAGAGCAGGTTACTTTAGGTATGAAACAAAGTCTCAGCTTTCAAATTTTGTCAATTGTTAAGTAATTCAAACAATAAATACCGTTTTGAGGCATGTTTAATGTTTAATATTTAATGTTTAATGTGTTATTCATTACCGTGATATATCGCATTACCGAATACCGGCACAAGTCTAGTCGTGACAGATCGCTGTAGCGCCTCAGTTCAAGTGGCATGTGAACCAATCCTTTCTTCATCTTTTCTAGTTATAGCGTGAAATAAACATAAATGAACATAAGAAGGTATCTTGTTTCAACTGCGGAAAGATGTCAAAACACACCATTTTTCAAGTTCAAGTCCACTGACGTTAATCTACTCTCCTGTCTGGTTTGTTTGTCAGACAAAAATGGCAGATTCTGCGTTATGATTGGTCAGATCGCCTGTCAATCAAACTCCTGGCAAAGGGTCAATTAAGTAAATTCCTTTTTCTGTCTTTCCAATTCATAGTTTAAATTCCATCTTATAAATTCAGTTCGAGACAACTCTTTTTCAAAACCCTGTGCAATAGCTCACTCTTGATAACCATCTTATTTATAAATGCTGAATTTACAAGTTTTAAAAAAACTCAATTCTGTTGTTGCAGTTACTCTGCTGCTTTGTTTACACATGCAGCTCGAAACAGGCCTTATAGAAGAAATGATTCAACTCACACCTCGAATCCCATAATAACAGTCACTAAGGCAACACCCTGACCCAATATACTCTGAGCAATGGAAAGCGGGACCTTTACACATGTGTTTCAGTAGGAGATTTTGAATGTTGGAGCTAGGGGACTGTTAGACTTGGCTGGGGTCAGCAGATATCCTATGCTGATCTTAGTGATTGGATCGCAGGTGATTACCAAAAGCAATTTAAATGATATTGATTTATCCTCTCGCCTGCTGTAATTGAACACCACGACCAAGCCCCTGCACCTTTTTCCCTCTCTCTTTTTCCCCTTTTCACTCTCGCATTAACGAAAAAGCATTTGGCGGCCTGAGGAGCGCCCATAAAGAGGAAAGGATCCGGCTAGAAGGGCCAATCAATTGGCAGTTTGCCACAGCAACAATGGAATTGTTCAATTAATATCTTATCTCTGGTTAATTTAGCTGCTTAGCATCCCGCCCCCCCTCGCATTATACACAGGGAATGTCGAGGTAGCAGTGGGACTTGCTCCAATTTGGATGCAAACGTCCTCCGTGTTTCTCATCTGGACAAGAATAATAGAAGAAAATGTTGTTTCCTGAGAGCTTCCTGCCAGATAACCCCCCTAGTGTAATAACCTTGGGAGTTAATCAACTTCTTTTAAATCAAATGCCTAATTTGAACGATAATTATAATTTGGCATTTAGATAACATTGACTAAGCACTTGATTGAGGCAACAGGACAAAAAACAGGCCTAATGGCAATTCTTCCCATGAAAGCACCGTCAAATAAGTTTCGTATCTACAATATTCCGTTGCGCTCTTATGCGGAGCTATATTTGGCACTCGGATCAATTAATGAATGGAAAAACTCCACCTGGGAGACACGCTCGTGCGTTCTCCATTTTTCACCCACCTTTCCAGCACCTCGGGAGAGTA